CTGGTGTCTCCTCTGGATAGAGCAGTCCCTCTCGTACAAGTGAATAACATTGCCGTATTTATCGCCTACACACAATGGACCGATCAACTCATTGAGCGTTACACAGAAGTCTTAAACCCATCTGCCACTGTAAACAAACCCATCTGCTAGTATTTCTCCAAAATATAATAACAAACACAATCATATAACTGATCAATAAATAGTATGCAAATTAGCAGGCAATTGCTAATTTCTTCATTGTTGAGAACAGTGTGCTCTACGCAAATATCCAAATGTTTTAATTAACTACCAGACAATGTATTTATTTCCTGCAAAAAATCGAATTTGCTGTTGAAGGTTTTGAGCGTTTTTTTCAGCAACCATGTCTGGGAACAGATTTGAAGTAAAACTCTTACTCATCGTTATGTCTTTCCAAACCTGAGTGACTTTCTTTCCATGGGACACAAAAGGAGAAATTTGAAAGAGTACTTCTTGCTCTTTTACATTCAATTACAATAAATGAGGACCGAAGCTTTCAAGCTCCAAAAGCATCATAAATATATTATAAAAACGGCATATATGACTTGCGTTATTGCTATATTGTTTCTTCTGAAGCTTTGAAATATTATTCATTGGAAATCTTGACATTCACACCTTTGCTTCCATGGTTTGTCCATGAGAAAAGTATCAATTTATACACAATTAGTTGATTCGTGAGAGACAAAGTGGTTCATAAACAAATCATTTAAGTTGGATCTTTTCAACACATTTCTAAATGATTTATTCATAGCTTGGACTGATCAGGTAAACCTACAAGGGTTGTTTACATGCAAATTAATAATCCATTTGTAAACGGGTTGATAGCTCAATCAGACTGAAAAGCCTTAAACACATTATTTAATTTGACTGAGCTCAATCTGAATTTGAGTAGTGTATATCTTTAATAAGGTGTTTGACAGGAAAATTTTAGCCATGTTTTTAATATTTCATGTTTTTAAAAAAAAGCTTTGCTGACTTGAACATGGCAACTTGGCACTGCGAATGCCCAAAAACCTGATTGGATTCATTCAGCTTGACAAAAATTAGTGCATGTAAACATATCTACTGACTCAATGATCCAGTCAATGTTTAACAGCCAACTAAAAGGGGAAGATTGTAAGTGAATAATAATTTAAATTTCAGTCTGTCCTCACACTAAGCTACAACACGGCTTCAAACGACTGTAGCAAACAAGTCACGTTGGCCACTTTTATGGTGCTTTTGTGTCCTTTTGACATTTAAACATGTCAGAACAAAGAGCAACAGTTTTCCTTTTGTGTTCCACAGACAGAATATAATACAGGTTTGGAATGTAATGAGGGTGAGTAAATGATGATGATGTTTATTTCTGGTTGAACCATTCCTTTAATATTAGAATACTTGATCTGCAGTTCACTTACCCAAGATCTGCACCTCGATGTGTCTGGGTTTCTCAATGAACTTTTCCACAAACAGAGCTCCATTGCCAAAGGCTGCCAGGGCCTCAGAGTATGCACGCTGATAGTTCTCCTCTAGTTCCTGATCACACAAGAAGCCATAGAGTCAGCCAGTGCAAATAGCCAGCACA